CTCAAAGTTGAAAGGAATCTTAAAGATACACAATGCATTATAGCAAAAGAAATTTAGAGGTCATCGAGTTGAGCTCTCTCACATGTTAGGTCCAAAGGGAAAGATATTTCTCAGTCACAGGCAAGGTAGTACCAGGATGAGGATGTAGGATGGTGGCTGGATAGGTCATTCGTTTTAGTCTAAGTCCTCAGTTCTAGTCCAGAGGTGGGACAACTGGAAGTTTTTCCTAACTGTAGAATAAAATGCATAGATGAGTCTCAGCATCATGTCTTGTTTTGTGCTGTTACATAGGCTGATATGGTTTGGGTCTGTGTCCCCACCCAAATCTCATCTTGTAGCTCCCTTAAGTCCCACATGGTATGGGAGGGACCCAGTGGGAGATGATTGAATCATGTGGGGTAGGTCTGTCCTGTGCTATTCTCGTGATAGTGAATGGTTCTCACAAGATCAGATGGTTTTAAAAACGAGAGTTCCTCTGCACAAGTTCTCTTTTTTGGCCTGCTACCATCCACGTAAGATGTGACTTGCCCCTCCTTGCCTTCCGCCATGATTGTCAGGCCTCCCCAGCCATGTGGAACTATAAGGCCAGTGAACCTCTTTCTTTTACTAATTGCCCAGCCTTGGGTATGTCTTTATCAGCAGCATGAACGCAGACTAATACATAGGCCATGCTATGTAACTCTATGAGCCTCAGTTTCCTAAAAAAAAAAAACCACGCAGGATTATTGTGAGGATTGAATGAGATGATATATTTAAGACACTCAGCACAAATAATCATGGAGACAAGTAAAGAGTGGCTGTTAAATTTTGATGATCATAATTTAACAGACTAATACATTGAAGGAGTTGTTGGCAGAAGACAGAATCAGTGTTTATTAAATGTTTTCTATGAATAAGATGCTGAAACAAATAGGGAGTTAAGCTTCTAAGCAGGCATCAGTGTCCCTATTTCCTAGCTGCGGAGCCAAAAGATCATCATAGAATAACTTGCCTCAGATTTCAGCCAGACTCTCAAAATCCACACTACCACAGCTGCTAGAGAGAGTTAGAATAAAGTCAGACCAAAGGGATGTCTCCTAACAACCCTATCAGTGTAAACCATCCATTCTAGTTTAAAAAAAAAAAAAAACAGCAGCAAATGAATGGCTAACCTGAATTTATCTACCAAAATATCACTTACCAAATGTTCTGTAACCTTCCTGTTCTTTGGTGTTTCTTCTTTTTTCTTTTCTTCTTCTTCTTCTTCTTTTTTTTTTTTTTTTTTTTTTTTCCTACACAGAACAATTTCCAAAATGGGCAAAGAGCACAGTAGGTGGCTCTCTTTAATATTTCATGGGTAAGGCAACAGTGACTCACCAGATCCTACATCTGTGTCACCAGCAAAAGCCTGATGAAGTTGATCAACAAATGAAGCTGTGTATAGGCTGGAGATAATCTTTGTTTTTTCTACGTCCTCTGATTTCCTCAAGCCACATTCTGCTTTCCTAACTGTGCCAGGTAAGATGATGTTAACTGCTTACCTATGGGAGCAAACATTTGCTCCAAAATGCCAAAAGCAAAGAGCAAAAAGTTTCTTCTACAACTGCGTTTGCAAGGCTGTGTGCTTGCTACAAAGAAGAGGGATCTAACAGCTTACAAGAAGTCTCAGTAGATGAATAGCCCCACTGCTTGGGCCAGAAACAGATCCCTTCATCTTCCTACATGTGCCTGCAGCCATCACTTTCCACAAGGAGGACTGAAACTCCAGACAAGTCATCAGCACCACCAGGAAGCAGTGGTCTCTTTCTGCAAATGCCACCTTTGCACACTGTTCTGTTTACTCTACTCAGTACCCACAAAATTGTCAAAAAAAAAAAAAAAAGTTGAATAATGCTATGGACACTCATGACATTCATTGTTCAATCTTCTTCCTAGCCTTTGAACTAGCATGAGGATGGCAGAGGGAAGAAACCACTTACAACAGGAAGAAAAGAGCGACATCATTCTGTACTTTGTCTTCTTAGTTAGTACCCTTTCTCTTAGGAATCAAAGGTGTATTACATCAAACACAGAAGAGTAGGAAGGTTGTCTTAGAGACCATTGCTTTAAATACCCTTTTATGATAGTCGACCCCACTAAACTCTACAGAACTGTGCTTAAGGATTGTTCTCTCAGCAAGGAAATACCCACTTTTCAACAAAAATGATATCCTGAAATAACCAGACAAATAAGGTCAACTTTATAACTGAAGTAAACTGTTAATATCTCATTGGCGAGGAAACAGAGTGTGATGGGAAATGCCCTAAACTAGATATGAAAAGGTGTGAACTGTATTCCCAGAGTTAAAACATACTAACACATGACCTCTAGCAACTTTTCATTTCTCTGAGTCTCATTCCAGATATGTTCTCAGTAAATTGAGACTAGCTAAGAAGAGATATCATTTAATGAGCACCTATTCACTACATGTACTTGACACTATTCTATTGCATTTATTCTTTATACAGATTTTTAAGCTAAGCATTTTCTTTCCATTTTAGAACTGGATAAAACAGAAACTTTAAACGATTAAATAAACTGCTCAATATCACCCAACTACTCAGGCATGAGGGCTGGAATTTGAAATCAAGTAGGTCTGACCACAAAACCTGGGCTCCTTCCTCTATTAATATTCTTTTCATGTCCTCCCAGGGCTATTGAGAGTAACAAGGAGTATCACATACGCAGAATGCACTTTAGAAATTTTAAAGCTCTACACATATATATGGTTTTGATAACAAGTAATAATCTATATAAAGATATGGGTATAACTGATCAACCTTTCTTTGAAGAATCAGAACCAAGGGGATTAGCTTTTAATTTCCCTTCCATCCTCATGATCTGACCTTATTTTGAACATTTTCCTTTCCCCCCACAAGGCCCCTGTCTCTCAGGCACACATTCAGACGTATCCCAGCCAGCTCACCCCAATGCATGTACAGGGAACAAGCTGATGGAAGCAGGTGATCCCATCCTTTACTAATGCTTGGTGCGGGAGGTACCTAAGTGGGCACCACTGGGCTCTTATCTTCCATCAAGATGTATCACATCCTGTTCTCAAGCACTTATCAATACTGCATACAAATGCTATGGACTGTGAAGGAGGCAGCCAACTACAAATGCTGGACGCTCAATTCAAGGAGTCATGGCAAAGCCAGTAGACAGCAGTAAATCATTGCATGAAGTCCATCAGAATAAAATCAATTGTCATGAGTAGGGTAAGAGTGTAGGAGGGAATCCATTTAATGTTAAAATACCAATAATACAGGAAGACTAGTGTGGGCTTGCGAATGTCTGTGTGTTCCTGTTTAAGTAAGGCAAGTTTGTGTCCAGAAGGGTCTGCATTTAGCAGCATCTCTGTACAATCCAAAAGAAATATATGAGAATTCGGTTGTTTTCTGATACTAGATGAAAAAGGTTGTTCGGCTGACCTAAGAGAGAGCGGATAGAAGGCTTAGAACAATCTGTAACATAGCTGCAACTTCCAACTTTCTCTTCTCGTCTTTCTGCCTCTCATCCATTTCAAGACCCTCTCTGTCGATAAAGGATGTCTCAGATCAGGGCTGAAGTTTGACCTAAAAACTAGTAGGAAATTCACATCACCGAGAAACATCAATTTTACATTTCGAGCTAAGCACCCATGACCCACATCACACATGGACAACATTCAGAAAATTCTTCTCATAAAAGAGCTGCTCAAATTCAAAAGAAGAAAGTCACCACATTTACAGATTTTTTTTTAAACTCCTCTCTAAGGTAGTATGAAATCACCTTTCTGAAAACCCACTGTCTGCAAGGTTGCTATGTAATAATATTTAAAATAGTTGCCTTCAGTTTTGAACCAACCAGATGCCAGGCCAGGCACTGTGCTAAACATGCTACTTGAATCATCCCATTTCATCCTCCCAACTACCCAAAGGGTTCATTGTGACCATTATAAATCTCCATTTTGCGGCTGAAAGAAAAGAAAGGAAGAAAAAAAGAAAAGAAAAACCCAGTATCAGAAAGGTGGGATAATTTGCCCAAGTTCACACAGCTAATACATGGCAGAGCTGGAGTCAAAGCCAAGTCCTCCTTCTCATCCAGTAGCTAAACCAGGGATCTGTACAGCAGAGCAGCAAAATGCTTCGCGCGGCGCCCTGGTTCCCAACCTCACAACCAGAAGGTGGAAGGAAGACAGGCTGAGGGCTAGCTCTTCAAGGAAACGGCAGAAGTTTGCTTTTCTGTTTGTGATTTTCTGTTTCACCCAGCTTCCTTGCTCCCTCCCAATATTTAGAAGAGGGAAGGGACTCTACGGTTCCATGAAGTCAGCTCTTCCCAAGTGAGGAGCACCCTGTACCCCACAGGGCCACTAGCTCCGCTTCCTCCGGGGCTGGGAAGAAACAGTACCGTAGGAGGTCACTGGCGCCCGGGCCTCCCTCCTCCCTCCCAGTGCTCCTCCAGAAGCTGGTAGGACACCCTGGGCAGGGGCATCTTTCTGAGAAAGCAGGTCAGGGGAAGAGGGAGTGAGGCTGCAAGCAGCATTTTCCCAGGCTGTCACAGCTCTGGACTGAGAGCGACGTGATACCGAGCGAGCATGCTGGGACACACCGCTTCCTTCTATCCTCAGAGCTTCCCGCAGCGGTCTGGAGAAACCAAGGCGGAGATGGGGGCGGGGGGTGGTAGCGGGGAGGGGGCGGTGAGGAGGAAAACAAGGGTAGATCCTCAAAGGGCTGAGGATGGGGGCGGCAACGAGCAGACGTCCCACAACTGCGTTACTTAAATCCCTGCAAAGCAAAGATAGGTCTCTGAACGTTTGGGTTCGAATCCGGGCTACAGCCCTGACTAGCAATATGACCTATCCCAGCCGCTGCCTCGTTCTGTGCCTCAGTTTCCTCCTCTGTAAAGTAGGAGGGTTTAATGATACGATCTCTAAGAATCCATCTGCCCTGAGATTCTGCGGCTCGGTGACTTCTGAGCCCTCACGGCGGCGCGAGACTCACCTTTCTTGGGAAGCTGAGCGGGCGCAGCAAAAGCAGCCGGGATGGGTGCAGTGTCGCCGGGCACTGCTTCTTTCCGCGCCTCTGGCCAAAGCGGACCCCGGAGACCCGGATTCCGGCGGTCTTCCCCAGTGAGCCTCTTACTTTCCGCCGCACTTTCTTTTCCCCCTTTGGGGCTCCTCCCCCGGAGCGGCGCGATTGGCCACGGCCTCACGGCTCAGGCTCCACCCGCCGCCTTGGCTCGCGATCCATCCGAGCTCTGGGCTTGCAGGAGCTGCGGCCGCGGGGCGGCGCCCTGGACGGTCCCGCCCGCTGCGAGGAGGAGCTGCGCCGCGCCCGCCTGCGGACGGATGCAAGGCTGCGCTTGGCCCCTTCGGCTCCCTGCCACCGCCTGTGCGGGCTTGAGCGCGCTGGGAAAGGAGAGGGTTAGTCCTGCAGCGCAGCTTGGCACGCTGCCAGGCGCTGTGGGAAGCTACGCCCCTCACTACACAACGAGGCGCACACATGTGCTCATTGCAAGATCGTGCTCTGGCAGTTGAGATCGGTGCCACCCTGCCCTTTCTTCCTGTCTCGACGTATTTAGCAATCATGCTGCAAGGCCTTGAATCGATTCAGACTACACGATTTTCGCAACCACCTTGTGCCGCCGGCACAGAGCGCGACAGGATGTATGCGATCTCCGCAGTCCTGAGCTCTTGCTGTCTTGAACTGACATTCATATGAGCAAGCAGCAGGACATGACAGCAAGACTAAATCTATATTGTCCACTGGTAATCTACCCATTGCCTAGCACAGTGCCTGGCACAAAGTAGGCACTCAGTGCATGTATAGTGAATGAGTAAAAGAACTAATAGGTTTACAAGGAAGGAAAAAATCTCAAAACAAATATTTGCCTTCATTCATTTCCATTTCCCCAAGTTTTTGCAAGAGCATTCCTTCAGCTGCCCTCTGCCACTCTAGATGGTAGTCTGTAATATATCCCGAGAAGCATTATAAAGGTTTTCATTAAGTCATCTCTCTTGTTCAGGCACCTTCTGCTGTGTTCCTACTGCTAGTCCATCATGATTTTTCCTGACTGGCAAGGCCATTCATGACCTGTCCCCATTTCTGAAACTCCCTAACCAAAGCCACCTACCACACTGACGAGTCTTCGCACATACCTTGCTCATCACCTCTCCTTTTCTCCCCCTCCTATAGCTACCTAACTGAATCTTACTAATTTATTTTCAAGAATCAAGATTCAGAGAAAGCATTTAAGGAAAAGGAGACAAAAGATGCGAAATAAGAACAGGGCGCAGGTGAGTGGGAAGGAAATGAAACCATCAGATGCCCGTGCCGCTAAAGATGCACAGCAATACAAAACGCAGAGACTGCCCCTGCCCTGGCGGAGCTTCAGTTCCCAACGTGAAATATCAGCGTAATTGGAGCCATAGAAATGTTTATGATACTTTGCTTCTTGATATCACTTGTGAAAATTAATTGCTCAAAATTTGTATTTATCCCTGGATACCTGAGATCCAGCACCTGCTCACAACATTGTTACTGAACCAAAGAGAAAACAATCCAAAAGAATTTCAAATGTTACCTGTATGAAGCAACAATAAAACTTTTTCTTATTTATTATTCGTTCCTTAAACATATTCTGGGCATAGACTTTATATATATATATATCACTTAAGCATTTACACAGTGCTTACAAAATAAAAAGGCACAATCATAAGGACTTTGTGTATATTAACTCATGTAACCGTCAATACAACCTAGAAGGTGCTATTATCATCTCCAGTTTACAAAGGAGATAAAGGGAATTTAAATAACTTGACCAAGGCTACAGGCCTACAAGTGGAGAATGCAAAATGAGACTAGAGACACTCAACGCACATGCTCGCAGCCGCTACACCGTCTCATGTACTACCTAGAAGCCAAACAGATACTAGTAACTCAAAATTGAACCAGATGTAGTCCTAGACATTGAAGGGCTACTCATAGCTTAAGGAAGATAACATTAAGACGAATAATCATATAGACAAATATTCATAGTATATTGTCGTTTGAACACAATATAAATGGTTGGAAATGAAAATGATTAGTTAATGAACGCTGTCTACTCACAGAAGAAAATATTTGTGTCGTAACTATCATGTTATGGAAATATGTCTACAAAGAACAAGGCTTACAAAATAACAAGGTTGAGTGAAAGTTGTGGAGAGATGAACACCAATTGAAAGGAATGTAAAAAAAATGTTGATATATTAGGATTATGGAAATATAATCATTTCTTTTTCTTTTACATTTAAGTGAAATAGACCAAGCACAGAAAGACAAATTTTGCAAATTCTCACTCACACGTGGGAGCTAAACATTAAAACAACTGAACTGAGATATAAGAGTAGAATGATGGTTACCAGAGGCTGGGAAGAGTAGCAGAGGCAAGGCAGTTGTGGGGAAGAGGGGGATGGTTAACGGTTGCAAAAATATAATTAGCTGGAATGAATAAGACCTAGCATTTGATAGCACAACAGAGTGACTGCAGTCAACAATAATTAATTATGCATTTTAAAATAAGTAAAAGAGTGAAATTGGAATGTTCCTCAAAGAAATGACAAATAGTCAAGGTGATGGATACCCTGTTGTCATTACCCTGATGTGATAATTACACATTGTATGCATGTATCAAAACCTCACATGTCACCCATACATATATACACCTATTATGTACCCATAATAATTAAAAATGAAAAAAAGTTATTCTAACAATTGAGAAAAATATTTTAAAGCTATATCCACTAAATATCCATCACCTACTAAACATTTGATGAATAATAGTTGCCTAAATGAATAAATGAAGCTACAAATTCATTGATGTTAGTGACTAATACTGCTGGATGTGTAGAAGACGCACAATAAAGTATTTTGCAATTGATTGAAGTATTTGGAAAGGCATTATTATTCTCTTCTTCTCCCAGCTTTTATCCTTCACCTTTTTTTTTAAGGTTATTTTTAATTATCTGGCTATAGCTATAAGAGGCATCAGGAGTTTACCAGTCTCTTAAACCCAATCCATCCAGACTTTTGTCTCTACCACTACATAGTCAGTATCTGTAATGATCTTCACTTAGCCAAATGTGGTGGTCAATTCTCTGTCTTCATTGTACATGTTAATACATTAGTAGCATTAGACACAGTTAGTTTTTTGCTCTTTCACACTCTCTCATACTTGACTCTTTGTTTTCTGTGTATTTCATCTGCTGTTCCTTATCAGATTCTTATCGAATCCTCTACCTCTTCATGATCTCTGAAGGTTACAGTGTCCTAGAGCTCAATCCTTGGAGTGTTTGTATTCTCTACCCAGGGGAACTCAGACAGACACATAGCCTTCTAAAATATCAATATGATAATGACTTGCAAATATGAATCTACAGCCCAAATCACAGACTCTGTATACCATATTGCCTCCTTCATATCTCCTTCTTGGATGTTTTAAATACACCTCAAATTTTACATGTTCAAATTCAAACTCTATTTCTACCCCACACCAAACCAGAGCTTTGTAAGAAACACTATCTTTTACCCAGTTGCTCAGGTCAAAAAGTTGGACTTATCACTCTCTCGTTGTCTGTGTACACTATATCCACAAACCTTCTGCTTCCTCTACATTCAAAACACATCTAAAATCCAACCACACTATTCCTCTTCTCCATCACAACCACCATGGTTCAGGTCATTGTCATCTCTCCCCTCACTGGCGTCCCTGCTTAAACTCTTACCCAAAGAGTCTATTGCCCTTACTTCAGAGACCCTTATAAATGAAAATAAAATAAATACAGGCTAGTGATTGAGATCAAGGAATCTGAAGCCAGACTACCTGGGTTCAAGTTAACATAATATGATCAAGTTACTCAATTTTTTTTCACAGTTTTATTCTCTGAGAAATGTGAATAATAATGACAATAATATACATTACAGTGCTGTTTTTAAATTAAATGAGATTATATAAGTAAAACACTTGGAACAGGGATTGGCATGTACAAATGCAATATAAATATTCATTATTCTTTTACAAGAAATATGTCATACTCTGCTTTCAAATACTCAGTGATTTCTCATCATGATCAGATAAATCTCCATAGTCATTATGGCCTAAAAGTCCTGTGTGGCCCTACATGATCCAGCACTGACTTGCTTCTTTAAATCTCCCATAGCATGCTCCTTGCTGTTGACCAAACACACTAACATGTTCCCATAGTAGGGTGTTTGCATTTGCTGTTCCCCCTTGCTGGACTGCTGCCCCCCTGTTCCTTACTCTCTCCTCTTACCCACATCTTCATTAATGTGCCTGCTCCAATTTTACCTTCCCAACAAAGCCTTTCCTGACAACCAAGGCAAATAATACATTATGTAACATTTTAATTAATTTGCTCATTGAATGCTTCTTTCACTAGAATGCTAACTCTAGGAGGGTAATATAATGTTTCCCTGGCGAGCAGACAATATTTTGCACATTGTACTCATTTAATAAACTTTTGTTGAGTTACAAATTCAGTCCAAAACTCTCATGGTTAAACTTTGATACAAAGATTTTAAATGACTGATACATTGTCCTCTTCCTTTGATTTACCTTTTTTGGGGAGACCAGAATAATTGGAAGACAAAGCTAAAATGTCAGCTAGATAGACAGATAGATATAACTTGTATATATATACAAATATAAACATATATATTGTTTATA